TGACGGCTGCCACAACTAATTTAAGTGGTGAGTATACCAACTAGCATTGGTAGTTTAGTATAAAACATTGTACATTTCACAATTAATATAATGGGAAATAGATATAATTATTAATTTCAATAATATTGCAAATAAGGCGAACTACTTTATTCCTAGACTGCCGTAGCGTGTACTGTGCGATTGCATTAGTAAAAGCAGATAACTATAACTATTTAATTAATAGTTTTACGATAAATAACCAATAGTACCAAAGAAATATCTAAAACTACAACAACCCTCCACGACTTAGGTTTAATACCGTGTAGACTGTAGAGATAGGTACAGGAATAAATTACTATTTATTGCCACACATACAAACAATTAATTCGGCGCCACTGGTATTGGGTCTAAGCGCAGGTACTCGCCGGGAAAATGCTGATTTCCCAATAGGCCTACCCATCAATAAATTAGCAGTTGTAACTCATAAGTCATAACATATTATAAACCCTTAGAAATATGGAAAATAGAACTCAGTGGACAAGGGTTTCAGACCTGGTCGAGACCGGACCATATTTTTGGGATGGTACGTGTGTTAGTACTATTACTAAAGCAGTCATCCCTCCCTTCCCGTTGAGACTTATAATTATTATGTGTGTGCATTGTTATTTGTTTTTAGTGTTTTTACAATTATTTTGAAATTTTTTTTCATGAAGTAATTACTTAACAATATGATAACATGATCAAATCTACAGATATTAAGAGGACGCTGCACATGCATTTGTTGTTTCCGTCTTACAGACGCACGACGTATCTCCTCGAATTTAATTCATGCTTACGCACACTACACAAAATTAATCGCTTAATTTCGGTTTTAGAGTAAAAATAATTTCTTAATTTTACTTATAAAATCAAAGCAGAACAATATTCCGGAGGACAAGGCGTTGCGTTTTTTCCATTTTTTTTCGTATATAACAGTCAATTTACCGTTTATAAACAACGTTTTTTTCAATTCACTAAAACTTTCAAAGACAATTTTTTTTTTTTTAAAGAAAACACAACGTTATATTGTTCTCTATTAATTTCATATTAGGTGCTTTTACTGTAAAACCAAAACTAAGCGAGTTCTGTGTAGTCTGCGTGAGCATGCTTTTACGACTATACCTTGTGTTTGTAAAACGGAATCAATAAATGCATATTGTGCAACGTTCTCTTAACATTTTTTCGTTATTTATGGTCGAACCGGGTCAAAGTTTCTGGTATTATCATTTCATTTTAGCGGTTCAACCGTTTTCCCTTACCACTGATTTCTAGTTACAAACTAAATGTACCAGGATCGCTTACGCGGGCTTGCACTGTTACTTATTGACCAGAAATTAAGTATACCAGTGGATGATACCGCTGAGAGATTCTCTTCTATGAAAAACATGAGATTAGACTTTTTATTACGAATTTATACCATGCATTATAATTTTAAATTTAATTAAATAATTTTTTTATAAATTTTATGTATTAAAATGTTACATTTTATAAATAATAATAAAAAAAGAGCCCAATTCCCGTTTCTATTAATACAATTTTTGGAGCTGTAACGTTACTTTTTTAGGGAATTTTCTTTTTTAAGGGTGGGTGAAAATATATTTTGCCCCCCGGGCCCTCGTAAGAAAGGTACGCCAATGCATGTGTGTAGATTGTACCGATGACTACGTTGGGGTTTCGGTAAATCCGCCGTTGCTCATCATCACGTCGAACGAATATAGCGACGACACTTTTTATTAATTTTCGAGCGGGCGCTCTATTTTTGGAAACAAGAGTCGTCGCGCGTTGTAATTTTAATTTTAATTTATAAATTATATTTGTATAATACAGGCAAAATAAAATATATTGCAAAATCGCCACAATTTATTTTAGATTCGGAGCGTAGCGAGTGCATTAAATAAAAAAGTTATTTTTTGATTTTCAAAGGGGTTTTCGATATAATTAGAGAAAACCGAAAGAAAATTAAACGTAAAACGGCAAATATTTACGGCGCGCCGCGGCGTTCTCGATTTCATTGTATTTAATTTTTGCAACTGAAGTTTTCCACCAGAAATATTACTTCAATCGAAAAATGACTAGAGATTGATTTTATTCTTTTTAAAGTTTTAACCTCTTTAACCCATAACCACCGATAAAGAAAGTCCTTTTTTGATATATACCTATAGTATTTTTTATAATAATTTGAAAAATCCAAAAGTGAGTTATTTATATACATTTTAATTTTTCGAGTGTTTTACGTAATTTTTATTTGGTAGGTATTCTATAGATAAATTGTTAAACGTAACAGAAAAGCTTAAACATCAAACTTTGATGGATGGTTCATTATAAGCCGTGCTTATTAGTCAAACAAATTTAAAAAATTAGTTTTGTGCATTATTTTTTTGTGATAATAATTTTAATATCAAATTTTGACGAAAATCGTAAACATTACGGCCTTTCGAAATATGCATTACCAAACTTCGTTATGAATGGTTTTTATTGTTGGTAAAAGATATAAATTAAATAACTTTATGTATCCCACCTACAACATTGTCCGCACCCGTCCCAATTATCAGCTCTCTTTTTAAAAAATTTAAATTCATAACAAATTATTATAATTTATTTATTACAAATTGAATACGTCTCTTATTCCATATAACATTAAAAGATGGACATGAATTTTAATTGAAAAAATAAAAATAATGCGCGTTTTTACATAAATAAATGAACAAAAGGTACACGCGCATTGTATTTTTCGACAACACGATAAGTTTACCGAAAATATGTCGGCGATAAAGTGAACTACAACACAAGCATAATATAGTCTAAAACGTAGATAATAGCATTTTCGAGGAATACCCATGACTGCCAACAAGATAATAAGATAGAATATAAGTAAAATAAATGCAAAACTTGTATCACTTGCAACAGCGCGCCTGCAGCACGAAGGTTAATTCAATTGCATCAGTTTAGTATATCGACACGTTTACCGTAAAAATGCGAACCGCGAGAAAAAAACACCGCGAAACCGTTGTGCCAAAAGCCGAAAAGTCAATTTTGAGACTAAACACGATTTCTGGACCAGGCGGTGTTATTAAATGTTTACCTACCCGACCGTACCGGGCGTAATAATACATTTTTTTTTTTTGTTCCCGCTACCCGGCTCACTGTCCAAAGGTCACTTTCATTGTGCAAATGTAGCGGAAAAAAATTGTGCCCTCCGTAATCGACCAAATGAAAAATGATTTTATACTGCATTATCGCGCAGTGGTAGAAATTGGAAATTAATTATACACTTATATTAATATGTATAGTGTTTTAATATTAGTATTCGATTTTTTTTATTGGGCGATTGAATACCTACTGGCCAGTAGCTAGGCGGCTCGGCCGCCATTTTCATTATTCTTATACATTACCTAAATACTTGACCGACGGTCGGTGGTAGGTACCCGAGACATGATTTCGATAGGTACTATTACTATCAGCGAATACTCGCAGTACCCGGTATTTATAAACGATGTATCCAGAACACATATTTTCAGATGAATAAATTCATTCATAAAATAACACCAGTTTACCGCTCGCTTCTTTTTAGTTTTTAAACTTAGTTTAGTTAAACTTAGTTAAACTTAGTTTTAGTATACATTATATACAATACCATTGAATGTATAATAATCAATGATAACAGTAAACCGCCAGAATTTGATAAAACACAATTTTTATTTTTNAACGATGTATCCAGAACACATATTTTCAGATGAATAAATTCATTCATAAAATAACACCAGTTTACCGCTCGCTTCTTTTTAGTTTTTAAACTAAATTTAACATAGGTATACATTATATACAATACCGTTGAATGTATAATAATCAATGATAACAGTAAACCGCCAGAATTTGATAAAACACAATTTTTATTTTTTTTTTCACGCGTGTCGCCAAGACCAAGATAACTCATAAATCAACACAAAAAGTTAAGTTTTCGTTCCAAAAATATATTAAAAACTCTTAGTCAGCCACTCACTAGTGGTTGAATTTCCAGATAATAAATAGACAAATTCCGCTACTACAAACAGTAAAAACCACCCTTAAAGATGACCGGCGTAAGATTTCTGATAGAAAAATAATTTACATAGGTACAGAAAAACAAAATAAATGTAGATTTAAAAAGAAAGACACGCGTCATAGAAAACCAATTCAATTTCTCGCTACGCCCGGAATCTAAAAATGCATATAATACTGCACCGCCTCTCGCGTGGGTCGCTCAGGTTTTCCTTTGGCTTTCTCCGCTTTTGACGCTATAAAGTTAAAACAATCAAAACCTTCTTAAAAATAATATTACGAATAAATAGTCAATTAATATTGCACAATGAAGAATCAGAAGATATATTAGAAAATATTACAAACGTCAATTATTATCGGTATCAGAAATTCGATTACAAAAACAATTATTTGACCCGGCATCTTTCGGACAACGTCTGCCGAATTATTCGACCGTGGTCGGAGACAAAATTCGGCCGACGAAAACGGTCAGACTAAATAATCCGGATTTCCGTTGAATTCACAAAATGATGCAGTATACACGCATTTATTTATATAGGTTGCAGTTATTTTTTTACAGTCAACCATGTTATGTTATGTGATCGACAAAATAAAAGTGGCAATATTATATTTCTCGTGTATCATGATGTCTTGAAAATTAAATGAAATTCTACTAACGTTATTTTTGTTTGTTTGTTTTCGTTTTTATTTTTGTAATAATAATATAGGCGCGTCGGTACAAATAGTATAGTATAGTATAATATTAATTATAAGTATAATAAAAAGTCGGTATAAATTTAAATTATTCCGTCTATTCGGCGGGAAAAAACAAATATTTTGTTATACTTACCTGTAGAATTACATATTGAATGTACACTGTATAATTTTGGTGAATTCAATCGAAATCCGGATCTAGTCTGACCTCTGGCCATATCTGTCGGACGAATAATTTGGCAGATGCTGTCCAAAAACAGATTTCAAATTTTCTCATCACTACAAAAAAAAAAAAAAATGTTACGGGCCGAATTTTTGCGAGGGCCTTAAGCAGTGCTTAATTTGCTTATAGGTTAATCCGGCACCGACTTCATCCCTGTCCTTGTGTAATAATAATTGATTATATTTATATCGCACTCGCGTAATTATAACAAGCGAAGGAAACAGTTAGAAAAAAAAAAAAAATGAATACGCACACTTATTTGTGATTCAATTTCATTCGTGAATTTATCGATCAAGACAGACGTTACAACGGGCGTCCGGGAATCGGACCACAATGAACATATTTTCAAAAAGGTACCACTAAAACTTTTCATTTATTACAGATCCAGCAATTGGGCTACTATTTTAAACGATTTTTCGCTATTGTATCCGGTAATTGGGCCACTATATATTAATAGATTTTAGATTTAACAAAAGGCAAACAATTGAAACACTTCATTTATTATCTCATGTGTTTCTGTCCTTAAAATAAAACTCCATCCACCAAAATGCGTTATGTTGAATGGTCCGTCTAGATGTATAAGTATAAGAGCAAAACCCACAATTACAAAATATTTCGAGATTATTCCTTATCAATCTTAGACCAGATTTAATTGTAAACAATTTGGAAATTCCCGAGATGTAGGAATTCCTGCAGGAAAATAAATTTTAATTTTCAAAATTCGAGGATAAATTTTTCAGATACAAAAAAAAAGACCTCACACCCTAAGAATGCAAGACCATAAATTACAATTATTATTAAGTTTTTATTATATTAAAACCTATTAACCTTGTTAAGCAATCAATGTTGTGTGAACACACATGGTTTACAAAACAATACTATTGACCTAGCTCTGTTCAGAATTGTTTTTATATTATTGATAAAAAATATATACGGATAAACTTTTTATTATTAATATAGATAATTTACTGATCAATTTAAAATTAAAATGTTTTCATGATAACTTAGGGACTAGAAACCCTACGAGTAGATTTATGGAAAACTGAAGTTCAAATAATAAAATAGTCTGTTAAGATAAATTATATTGTCATGCTTTTTAAACTACTGAATTTAGAGATATTTTTAACCTAATACCAAACTTTTTATTTATGTTTGCATACAATTTGATGTAAAAAAAAAAAACATTAAGCTAAATATAAGAAAAAAAAAAATCAAAGATATAATAATCTATTATTATAAATTACTATAAAATCAATGTAAAAATGTAATTTTAATTCTAATTTCAATTATTAATTGGACCTAAAAAAAATTGGATAATTATTTAATAGGCACTTGATGTTATTTTAAAATAACAAAAGTTTAGTCTCTTAATTCATGGTGTGTTATCAAGTTATAATTGTAAACACAAAAGATACAAAAAAAAAAAAAAAAAAAAAAAAAAAAAAAAAAATGAATTACAAAACAATTGAAATTATTTGAACAAAAAAAAACAAAATAATAAAAATAGAAACATAATAAAATAAATTTACAAAATAATCAATTTAGTGAAGATGAAGGAAACTGCACAGGAACTTTTTCATTGTTTTTAAGACTACTAAATTTCTTTAAAAATATCATATATATATATATATATATATGTATAAAAAAATTATACAGTTTTTTTTTTAGTAAATTAACTAACACAACATATGAGTATTTCTTTACTTTAGGTAATATGAATCTATTGAGGTAATTTTACTCAGACTTGGACTTATTCAAATACAGTAAATAAAATATTTTTGAAAAAATAATAACCCTAATAATAATAATAATAACAATAAAAAACAGTAAGAATTCAATATAAATACATTCTCTCCAAAAAAATAAAAAACATTAACTAATTTTGATATGAACTATTTTAGCATCACATTTTTTTTTTCATTTTAATATTATTCATACAATTTAGTCTAATTAAGCAAATTGTAAATGCTGATTGCTACTTCAAAATTGTACAAAAAATAGATTCAATTCTAAAATTAAAAAAAAAAAATGAATTATTTGATAATTTAATAAACTGTCAAATATTTTTTTTTTTTTTACAAAATTAATCACCAAAAGAAAACTCTTAATATCTAATAAAAAAATACATAGAATTAATGATGGGGCTCAACTGTTATGCCATTTATCTTGTCCTTTATTCCTGGCAAAAGTTTACAAGATAATAAGAATAATCCAGAAAAATAACAATCTTGTACATAAACTATAAATACCAACAAATTGTAGTACTTATGAAATGATCATACAAATTATTATTTATTGATATTGGTTGATTGGAAAAAAAAATAAAAAAAAAAAACAAATAATAAAAAAAATATATCCAATACCAGTTTATTGTACACGCTTGATAATTTATGATGGCATTTAACTGTTTCGTGTTGTTATACTACGAAAAAAGACCAAGTAACTTTACACCTACTCTAAGATGCAAATCACGTCATTTGCCAACACACCATTTGACGTAAAGTCAAAAATTGTAGTTTAAGCATGATTAATTGTTAAGATATTGTTTTATGCCAATTTCAAATATCAATTTCTTAGCCGAAATGTACGGCTTATAATTTAAACAAGTCAAAGGTAACCAATGAAGTAAAAACTTCATTACTTCATGTTCCTCCTTCCGAAGCATCACGACTACGTTGTTGTTCCAATAGCCGTTCAAGTGGTGACGGTCCTGGACCAGACCACAATGACTACAACAAATATAAAATTCAAAATGCATCAATTGTTTTTAAACTTAAAGGCTTTACCTGCTGATGGAATGTTGCAAATGATCTATTATTAGGCTCTTGACTAGTTTCCATATTCCGTGACATCATCATATTATTAGGTTGATTAAATAGTGAATAATAAGAACTATTGTTAGCACCATTATAATAGTTACGCTGCTGATCATCTCTTATGTTGAAATGCTTTAATGAAAATTCAATTAATTAGAACCTGAATATTTTTTATATCAACCAAAGAACTTACATTTAAACTATTTTGCAAAGATGTATTATGTGGATTAATTGGAGAAGAATTAACATTAGTCCAAGTACCATTTGAATATTGACCAACTGGAGGAGGAGGTTGGTTTTGCATAAATGGAAAAATTGGATGTTTTTGTTGATTGCTAAAAATAATAAATAAATAAATATTACAAGATAATATAACATACTATTAAAATTCTTACTTTTGAGGTTGTTTTATGCTATCAATCCAACTGGCTGGTGGTTGCGGCCAAGCTGTAAAATTTGGTAATGGTTGACCAAATCTGTATGGGTTTTCTGGTGATGAAGGAAATCCATTTATATGCATTTGGCCAAAATTATTTATAATTGGATTGATATTAGACTTCGGAGAATTTAAATTGTTGATGGGATGTGGTAACTGATAACCAATAGGAGTAGGTTTTATAGCATTTTGATCCTTTTCAAACTCTGATGAAGTTTGATCCAGGTCTTCTAAAGACCATTTAGCTTCACTGCTGGAAGATGAACTTGGAGACGGAGATCGAAATTTTACCTAAATGATGATTTAATTGGTAACACTGAATTAAATTATAAAAAAAATGTAGAAATTATTATTTATTTCATCATACCTGTTTGATTTCAGTTTCATGATTCCTTTTCAACATTGTGTCAAAGTCAACATTACGGAGGACTGGTTTTATATCAGAACTATTAGATGACTGGAACTTCAAAATACCACTTTTTCTTTCACCTTAAACAATCCAAATATTTATTTATTTAAAATAATTAAAATATAACAGAATATTAAATCAAAACGTATTAATATACATTATTCCTAAGAGGATCCCAAACCGACATCTATTGTCTCCGTCTTACAAACACGAAACATAGCTAACTTGCGTTCAGTAGGACACATTTTGTACCATTAATTTTAATATTAAAGAAAATTGACTTATTAACAAATTAAAGGTGAGAAGATTATATATATGCCTTAGTGTTGATGATTTTTCGATATTTTTATTTATATATGAGACATGAATACGTTTTAATTAATAAAATACAATTTTAAAATGATTCTTACTTAAAAATTAAAATATCAAAATATCATCAACACTACAGCATATATAATCTTTTTATATTTAATTTTGGTAATAGGTCAATTTGCTTTAATATTAAAACTAACGGCACAAAATGTGTCTTACTAATCGCAAATTTGCTATCTCGAGTTTTTAAGATGGAGGCAGTAGATGTCAGTGTGGCGTCCTCTTAAACTTAATGATTGGGATTTTAACATACTTGAATTTAGTAACTGACGCTGTTGATATGAAGATAATGTTTCAAGATCAGCAGCAAGATCAATTGAATGAGAACCAGCAGAACTGCTTGGTACTATTTCAAAGCTCCATTCTTTATCTTTTTTTCTGTATAAAATAACATTTGATAAATTTTTAGTATATATAAAATATTTAAACCATTGAACATATTGAATACATTGCTTTAATTAACGAATGTGAAGTAGATGAAAACCATATACCAAAACTGATTAACCGACTAGCTCTTAGTGAATTCATATTTATTTTTGTGCTATCATCAGGATTCAATCTGTAATTAAAGAATATATTAAAACGATACCAATAAAATCATTAATAAAATATACAATTTTCTCCTTACATGAACTTAGAATGTATTGATTCTAACATAATAAAACCTTGAAGCAATCTATCTTCTGGTAAAGGAATATGTGAATCTAACAATATAATAGTATTAATTCAGATTAAAAACTAAATAACTTTAATACATACAATCTTCTGGATCCAGATCATTTGATAATCCATTAAGCAATTTGCAAAGACCTGGCCAAATTTGTAAACGACTTTTGAAGCCAGGGGAATTTAAAACATTAATATCACTTTGTATCCAATCCAAAATAAGTTTAACTGTAAAAATCAAGTGTGATATACTGAAAATGTGTTTTTTTAAAGTTTAAGAGGATGCAACACTTTCATGTATTGTCTCCATCCAACAAATTATCATTTAAAAGGAACAACAAGTTTTAATATTATAGTGAACTATCAAACTTAAATGTAAGACTATTTGTTGTTTTTTTCGATAGTTTAATTTTTAAGAGAGATATGAGTAAGTAAAATATTACAATTTAAAAATGCTTAAATCTTGCTTAATTTAAGTACATAAAAAAAAAATCACTTTAGTTGCATAGCTCTTTTTTTTAAGTTTAATGATAGGTTGATTCATATTAAAAATTAAATGTAATGTGTTTGTAAGATGGAGATGGCACATGCAGGTGTGGCATAATTAGATTTTCTTCCTAGATATTTTTAGTAACTAAATTAAGTATTACTCTACCTGCGGGTAATGTATAATATTCTGAAATATTTTGACTTTCTTTCATTGTGTACAAAGGAAGTAAAAAAGCATTGAGAAATGTGGCTAATAAATCAATAACTGGGAAACACGGTGTCATTATAGATGAAGATTCATTTCTAATATAATTAAATGCTAGCATATTAATAACCACCATCTATAAACAATAGAATATTAACAAAATATAAGTAAAAATACTTAAATTAATAAACAACCTGTTGTAATTTAAATGATGTGAATGATTCAGTAGCAATAAGCGGTGTAAACGAGAGAGAGAGACTTTTAATATATCCATCATAACATTGACGCTTCATAATATCCTTTGACATTAACACTCCGTGGAATGCGAGAAATAATTGAATAAATTCATTGCTAGTGATTTTAGTTTTATACAGCATATCTTGACTATGAAAAAAAAATAAAAAATAATATATTTAAATTTTGAATAAATAAATAATTGTTTAATTTGTAAAAAGAATAAAATCACTATTTGTTACTAATAATTACCTAGAGCTTATGTACTTATTTAACGTGACATTTAAATTATTGATAGCTGCTAGAAAAGGGTGTCTAACATTTATACTTCTCATGTAATAAAACACTGTACTTAAACAATCTCCGCGGGATGCTTCTAGTAGAGCCAATTGGTTGTAAGGCTGTCCACTGCTAGGGCTTAATTGTATGGCATGTCTGTTAAGTTTATATAAAGGCATAAGTTTATGATTTATATAAAAATAAATATTATATTTTTTAAAATATTGAAATATAATTTAAATATTTTAAGGAAAAATACATGACATTATTTAATAAAACTATATACCTATAAAACGATTCAGCTTGTCTATTTTGATTACGATAACGAGCAATATCACCCAAGTGTACCAAACAATATTGGCATATGTAATTACATGAAATTTTCTGTGGTTTTCTTAAATATGTTGATCCTATAGGTTTATCATCTGTATCACAAAATCCATACAATTTCCTACAGGAATAACATATTTAAATAAAATTAACTTTGCACAAAACACAATTAAATTTATTAATTGTTACACACTTATGAAAAGGTAGATCCAAATCAAATGTTAAACATATGCTGTGCAAAAGTGTAAGATAAAATCCATAGGCAGACTCAAGGCATGATAAAAATAATGCGTTCCATTCATTGCGTTTGGCATTCTATTGGGAAACAAAATTTTTTAAATTATTAATGAGAAAATTACACAATCAAATTCCCCTTCTAACTTTTTTATCTTTGGCTAGTTGTTGTAACTTATTGATGTTGTTTTTGAAACCATGATTCCAGAGATCTTGTTCAACTTTTTGGTCGAGCGCATACTCTAAGTCTAAAGTCAATACTTGTTGATAGATTATCTAGAATGCAAAACATATATATATATATATATATGTATGTTTTGTGTTGTTTTTTATTATACTCAGTGTTGAATTCAGACAATATTTCTAGGGGGAGAGGCATTACTAAAATTATGGACAAATTTTTTTAACTATTTAATTAATTATTAATTTACCCAAATTAAACGGGGGGCGGGGGGGGGGCAAACAAAATTTCTCTGTCATATACCTGGATTCAAAACTGACTATATTATAGGTATATATGTATGTACCTATACTATAACAACAAACAACACATAATTATACAAGCAGAAGAGCATACCCTCAATTGCTGCTGGCATGCTAACGTTTCAGCACTGTTTATATCTTTAGATACACATATTTGTTCTTTCAAATGATCAGCTTTTCTGCGGAACATAGAAAAAAATATCAAAAATGAAATAATATCACTTTCGAGAAGGCTAGACTATGTGCGCAAGTATAATAAAATGTACAAATTTAGTAGCATTGATCGTACTTTAACGTTTGAACGGCCGCGATGGACACCATGGCTTTTTAATCGTGTCCCCATACACGTCATGAAACAACGTAAAGAGGTGGGTTTTCTTCAGGCAAAGATAAAGACGTGCCGGATGCCAATAACACTGTAGGACGGTCGGATCATTGTACACACTCGTTAAGAAGCGATTTCGTTTCGGAAGACATCACAGTAGATATTTCTCGACAATTATAAGTAATAACACCATTATAACAACACCACGAACCGCCAGCAAACGTGTTTGAAGTTCGAGAAACGTCTCGTAAGTCGTTGCGTTTTAATCGCAACATTCGCAATGAGCCTTATCACTGTTATCAATGTATTACACAATAGAACGACGCACACGCATGTCGTTCAGCGGCGGCGGCAACGATTACCAATAAGCGCGTTTTGACGCGGCTGTAAACCATAGACCATAAACCATCTTTATACAAAACCGTGCTGATAACGAGACCATCAGTTTTTCCCCTTGAGTAGGGACGCCTATTCATTTGGATAAGAAAGTACAGCAATTATTATTTATTATTATTTTCCGCATAACAAAGTGAAAATATAATATAACGTAATAAAAAGAATTATTCAAAAATAAATAAAATAATACAATTAATACATACCCTATAAACATTATAAATTGTATTATGTTTGTTTATTAAAAATTATAAAATGAAATAGAGATAATTGCTTGTGCAGTTTAACTGGTTTTCTATAATATTTTTAGGATGAGCAGACCCCATTTTGGCGAGTATTGTGTTCGATTGTCGAATTAAACACAGTATTTAACCGTCATTCTTAACATTTGTCATGTATTGATATACATTTTTAATGAAATTAAATTGCGCAGATTTTAGATTTTGAGTGGGGTGAAGAAGCTTTTGGTTTTACAAAGATCTTTATTTTTGTTTTCTGTGGACAACTTTTCTACCAGAAATTTTACTCCGATTTTTAAATGTAGCGCCTTCTCTGAAAGGAAATCGGACTGAGAAGGTATTTTAACGTTAATTGATTTGCCCAGGAGTTTTCTAAATAGATGGAAAAAACATGGTAAAACCGTAGAAAAAAGGGAAAATAGATATAATATTATTAAAGAAAATATATAATGCCCAAGTAGGTAATTATTTCACCATAATATGGCATATATATTGTTGGCGAAGCAGCACTATCAGAATAGTAATGGTTTATCGTTGCTTACAAATATACATTAAATTTCCGCTCCCTACTACCTTCTCAACTTCTCACCTAGTTACATCAGTGGTGAAGTTGCCAGGCCTTTTTTTTTATGTTATACCTACACTCTTAGTCGAAATATTAGTATTAAATTTGGAATTAATTTTTGAAGTTGCAATGATCTATAAGTGACCAGCGTTCGACAAATTAATAAAATGGTAAATACTATCTGTAAAATGTTAGTTATGTACTGTATTTTATATTTCGACAGCCATTTATTTTTGTATTGCATTCAATAAACACGTGCCCTTTTTTGATAAAATGCATTTCCACCAGTCACCTTTTATTTAAAACGGTACATTTTTGCATTCATTGGGCGCGAATCCAGAATTAAAATTTGAAGTGGGCCATTTTTTTAAAAGGACAAAAAAGTAATACACGATTAAAAATAATGAAAGTAAATATCACTAACTGAAATTAGAACTTTATTAATTATTGTTCATTTTTAAAACTAATTGATAAAGTTTATTTTTCTTTGTTTGGTTTTTACAAATCTAGAAATAATGTCATTAATATTTTTATTTATTTATTTATGTTTACGAATTTCCCGTTTTTTCAAATTAAGGTGCTCACACATTACAATGATAAAACGGCCGAAGTAAAATATCGTGTTGCGGTTTTTATAAAAATATTAAAAACCGCTGCATGACCGAATTTTATCACTACCGATGGCGGTTTTTCATCATTTTTTTTTAATACTTACCTTCTTCAAAATGTGAATAAATGTAAACTTACCCTACAGTCCCCGCGTACAACCTCTCCAACAACATATCATTTTCAGTAGACGTCATGCTGCACTTACTTTTCTTCGCAATATCAAGTCTCTGGGTCCGGATGGTATCCAGAGTAACTTTCTTTTTCAGCTGAAAGATACAATTGCCTGGCCACTATATATTCTTTTTCAAAGTCCTTAAACTTCGGTATTTTTTCCTCAAACTTGGATCCATTACCCTTAGCCTTAAGTCAGATGACCCACTAAATGTTACCAACTATCGTCCTATAACTATCTTACCATTACTTTCCTTTCCTGGCTGCAGTCTTACTTAGTAGATCGTCGTCTCTTCGTAAAAATCGCAAACTCGCGTTTCTCTATGTTTACTTCCTCATCTGGTGTCCCGCAGGGCGAGATTCTGTCTCCACTTCTTTTTCTCCTTTTCGTTAACTCAGCGTCCCTATAGTACTTTCTCATACTAAACTTCTAATTTTCGACGACGATATGAAACTCTTCCTAAAAATAAACTAAATACATGACTGGCATAATCTGCAACACGACCTCAACCGACTAGTTTTATGGGGTGAAAATCTAGGCCTTTCTCTCAACATTCAAAAATATTCTACAATAACTTTTACCCGTCTCCGGTCACCCATATTCTTCCCCTACGGAATACGCATCATTCCAATAAAGACATCAGGTGAATCTATCCGCGACTTGAGATTTACTCTAACTCTAACCTCTGACCTCTCCCCAAATAAGCAAATACAAGATATCTGGTGTAAGGCTTTTAAGGTTCATGATTTCATCCTTCACTCTTCTCAACTTTTCCATCTAGTCATGCCCCTCAAAACACTATACTGCGCCCTAGTGAGACCCATCGTTGAGTACGGCAGAGTGTTATGGGATCCTGAAACTGCAACGGCCAGTGCTTCTGTAGAGCGTGTTCAGAGAAGGTTTCTCCGTGCCGTTTCTCACTGTCAACATAATCCCTGCCCCATACCTCACGACTACTCTCCTGTTCTATATAAGCTAGACCTCCCAAGCTTAGCAGACCGTAGACAGATAAAAAAAATTTCGTTCTTTTCAAATCTCCTTATTGGCAAAATAGATTCACCCGTTCTTCTCTCCCTCTTTAATTTTAAAATTACACCTCGTCGCACCCGCTTTCACGCTCCATTTCATATTCCCCAATCTTTTACTAGTTTCCTTCAAAACTCCTTCCTAAACGGTCTAATGCGAACCGCAAACAATGACCCGTCCTTTCAATTAAAAAACCCAAAAAGGAAAATGCTAAGCAATGTAGAAAGAGTAATAGTCATGGGAATAACAATAGTAACATAGTTAAATATTAAGTTATCACTAATAATCCATAGGTCTATCATAAGTAAAATGTATGTTAGATACAAGAGCATTCAATGTAAACTGGACTAGTCCCGTATTTTATAATAAATAAATAAATAAAATATTATTATAATATTATATACGTGTTTATTATAACCGTAGCGGGTAAATGATATGACGAGACGTTCAAAACGTTGGGCTCGCAAATGTATAGTTTTCAACCAGTTGTATACAATTATCGTTATATTCTTACGAGCTCTTAAATCGGCTCAGCGGAACATAAACAATTAAAAATCGAATACAATAACATTATTGCCTAATAATAGATCGTGACGAGCATAAAATATATAAACAAATTTACATACCTACGTGTATTACTTGGATCATACACTATACGTATATGATCTGAAGGAATATTGCGTTGTATTATTGACAATGCTACTTCTAAGAAAACCCGTGTGTTATTACCGAAAATGATATGAAATAAATATCTTGATACGTATTTCGAAGAAATTTATTTTTCAATTGTTGTCTATTGATACTTGTGAATCGTGATCATTAGCAAAATTCAAATTTCAAAGTTATTTCAGTTAAGATTCCTATTACATAAATAGTTTATTATTCATTAAATACAATATAAAATATTAACGAACATATAATTCGTTGCTCTTTTGGAACACTTGAACAACCGTTTCAATGTACATAATTGAGTTTAATCAAACTCAACAACTCACACATTGAAATCTTCTAAAGAATTTACATCTCGCCTCAAAATAATATTTACATTGTCTACATTGATAATTTTATGTTTAAATCATATCTTATTGTAAAAAAAAAAAAAAATGAGTTTTTAAAAAGAAAAAACCGCGTAATTCGAAAATATTGATAATTATATAACGTTATCATATAGGCAATCCGACGAGAGCTCTTGAATTTCCCTAGCAATGTATGGTATGCTTATATGCATCCCGGAACGACGACTCGTGAACTACCCGCGCCACTTTGTTCATCGTTATCAGCGTTATCGGCAGCGGAAAACGTACGGACGGCCCATAAATGTTGTTAAACATTGCGGGAAATCGGACACACACGCGCGAGTTTTGTCTGCCGCCTAGGTGCGTTCTCCTATGCGTCGTACTTTCCTACAGCAGCGAGCGATCCATTGTCTTTATAATCGACGGTATTACTCGTAACATTGTAGTGGACCGGACGGCACCTTTTGTCAACAATTATTCGGCGATATTTGGAACAAAAGGTTTGAAGAAACAATACGACTGTTGATAAAAAATATAAATCTCGCTTTATTCCCGGGCCCTTCTCGCCTGTGGATCGCACATACGTAATGAACGATTCCGACGGTCGTTCTAGAATAATTAAAACAAAGTCCGATTTTTGTCGAGCACTCGTGCCCGTTGTACGTACACAACAATTCGAGGGCGCGGCCTACGCAGATAAAGTAACGGACCTAGGCGTAGAACGCGCAATTCACAATCCGAAAGCGGCCTTTCTCACTCATAAATTCAAGATATTTATGTATTCGAATTCGGTGACCGATTATGCACTTAAACTAAATTACAAAGCTGACAAGTGGTTTTAATGCGTAAATACGCAGGTGTATCCGCTAAGGAGACCAAGATAAAGTAAATAGTATAAGTATAGTAATCCACATTACTACGCTTCATTTTTATATATATATATAAAAAAAAAAAAAATCACATTTTTTTACATTTCGCGCAGTCTTCAAACTGCGGCTAGAGTGGTATTAGCTGCTCTGCTTCGCTTTCGTCTAGTTCGTCCAAAATTGGCGGATGAGAAGTTAGATTGATGCCTTCTATTGGATTAAATGGCGGTGGTGCTTATGGCCTGTCGGTTGACGAGTCGTTGGTTAGGTAGCCTAAGGAAACGTACCGTTCTCATGCACCTGTATTTCTGGTACTTTCGAAGCTTTTTTTTTGTTAAAACGTTAGTAAACATAATTAAAAACCAACTATCCTGTGGAAATTTAAATGAGAGGGGCGTTTTATGTGCCCGTACGCGCCTCCTGCAAGGGGCACTTGCGAGCCGTATACGGTAATAGTCACCACACACGAAACCAAATACTCACCAGACGCAGTAGCACTGCAAAATGTACAGTACCGAAATATAGTTTCGGCACACGGACCCACACCGGCCGTAATCTAATATATAACGATAATGCATATGATGTCAGTATAATCAACCAAATTTTATTTTATTTTTATTAATCGAGGGAAACATTTTACAGACCACATTGAACTTTGTTTTTCAATATTTTAATCTCAACAATTATAATGTCTTATAAAAAGTAATTTTAACCCATTTTTTTTTTCTCATTGTTAAAAATCCGAGTTCAATCCAGCCTGTAGAATGGTGTTGTTTATTAATAAAAACATGTTTATGAAAATATTGAATTAACAATAAGTTGTCACTATTTCCGTGAAGTAATTTTGATCAGTAAAAATGCTAACACTCCTTCCCCTAAATGAATGTTGGGTAGTAGATTATTTGGAAAATATTATCTTAAAGTGGAAATTGGAATGTTAAAAATAGTTTTACAATTTTTCAAAATTTGAAAAACTGGCAACGGGCTTCTTAAGAATGCACTACAATGTAAAATTATACATTTAACAAAATTCAGAAAAAAATAAGGAGAAATTATATAAAACTAATATCTTATTATTTCAAAATCAATAACTGATAAAAATTAATTTGTATGTTTACTTGATCAAATTATTGTTTAGGTATACATTTATTTTAACAATTTTAAAAACATTGAATTTATTTAATTAGTAAAAATTGAAATATGTATAAGGTACCTATAATACGTTATAGATAAGAATAAAATGTAATGTTCAGAGATCTTTACACTCATCTTACGATGGTGTCTTACTTTTTTTCAATATTTCAACTCTAAAAATTCAAAGACAGTACTTCAATATAATAAATTAATACATAATAAGGTATATTGTACTCAATTAATAGGGAAAATAAATTATAAAAAAGGCAAGAAATAAAGCCCCGTTATTTTTATTAATAATATTAAAACCAAATATTAATTTTCTTCTCCAGCTAATACTTTAATGATGGCTGGAAACAGTATAAATTTAGATTTATTTTGTTGCTCAATAAATGATATACACTCGACGTTTAATTTATAAACATTGTCTTTCATATTAAACTAATTGATATAATATTTTTGATTACTAAGTACCTAAAGATATTAGTTAAGGTCTCTAAATAGTATGTGTTCTATTGTTAAGGTTAAGGATTTTGGATATTATTTATATATTAACTATTATGATGATTTAATTTAGTATACTGATGTATAACATACGTTTTGCTGCTGTAATGTCTTTTTGTAAATGAAGTTTATTCCGTATGAAATTATATAAATAAATAATTTATTGAGATAAATATGAAACTAGTTGCTAGGGCACGCATAGTAGGTAGGGGCCACTTACCTGGCAACTTGTCACTAACATGAATATAATCAATATTATATGCAATCTAGTACTATCCATTGTATATGATCTAAGTGTTTTTACGCTTTATTTATATTTTACTATATTATTAGGTATATTTGCTTAATTAATCTATCTTATCATTGTCTAGATTACTATTCCATCATTTTTAATTAATATACAACAATTTTATAAATAAAATTATAAAATTAGTCCAAACATTATGTAAAAATATGCATAATCTGATTTTTAATGAATGAATTTGTTTTTCAACGTTCAAACAAGGTTGACTTCGAAAATGCTAAATGAATATTAAAGACAGCCAGGTTTATGCACATACTTAAAATTTCTCCGCTGAAACATTAAAAAATGCCTTTACTGAGATAAACAAAGGAACATTCAGCTACAGACAAGCATCTGAAAATAATGCAGACAATAAGTTAAATGAGATTGAAGAAAATTTCTGTAATAAATTAAATGATACTGTAGAAACTTTTAAGACTGATAATAACGAAAATTTAAAAATAATGGATTTTTGTTTTGGTAAAATTTGAAATCTTTAAGGTAATTTTGAATATGTTGGACAAATGAGTGAAATTGAAGAATAAGAAATAACATATAAGTTTCTAAGGGGAAGTAAAGGTATGAGAGGACATTATGTATTTCCATTTATTATTGACAGTTACTGTTACCAAAAATCAAATTATAAAAACACTGTTATTGCTCAAGAAAAAATAAAAGTCAAAATTTTGAATGGGTTGATACCTATTTCATAGTTATGTAAGTTGTTATTTGTTAATTATCATTGTTTTATTGTTTACGTAATTTTACACTATAAAATGTTAAAAACATGTTTTATAAACTGTTAAAGTAGATGTAATATATTTTTATTTTAAGTTTTATCTTTTTTTACCGATACCAAAAATTGTTTTTATAATATTTTTCAAAAACTAAGTGTGGATGCTTCTGCTAATTCTACTAAAATTGCTTGTATGACTGTATCACTAGCACGAAAAGTTTAATTTAAATCATTAAGGTGTTTCAGAAACTGGTTCACCTATAGATGTGTTTAAATTGACATTTGAGATTTCACATTCTAGTAAATCTTCCATACTTTTATTTGCTGGCACCCTGGTAAGCATTTATTATGAGACAATAAAACTCCTGATAGGCCATCAGATCAACAAGAAGTATATTTCATTAATAACAACTAATAAAATCACCATGATGCAAGTTGTTGATCCTTGAAAATATTTCCTACCAGCTCGTTTATGATAGTTGACGCGTAGACCGAAGTTGAAATTAGACAAATTAGTACCCGTCTGCTGGCTCGGTGGACAGTGGAAAAGTAGACCAATTCTGTTGAACCGAGTTTTCAAGGCAAAGAGACGTTGTCGTAATGTTCGGTCAGAAAAAAGTCCTTAACTTATTTACTCAGATCAACTTCAAAAGAGAAACGTTACCGAAGTATATTTCGACTGATATGAAACATTGAAACCACACCCGACACCACAACATTATGTAGAGAACGAGTGAACCGGAGTCGACGGCACGGTACAATACCATTGCGATTCTTGAATTCGTCAGAAATGTTTGATGAAATAACACAATGATATAATATGAATAACCGAATAAATCAACACAAAAATGGCGGGATAATTATATCGTATTTGATAATAAGAGTGGGAGAAACATTAACCGGTTGGTATGAATTCTAATTCGCACCGATTGAAATTTACAATGAATTTTTACGATTAATTATAATACAGATATCTGTAATAATTATTTGAAACATTTTGGCGCAGACTCATACTTACGCATTACATGAACTTCTGAAAATTCGTCAACTAGTCCATAATTTCACCGCGTTGGGCACACTGTTATCGCTGGCCACCAGTCGCGGCAATATTATCGCCATCGTATCGTTGAACATGGCGGCTCAACAAACTTTGTAGCCATCGGAACATTATTAAAGATAAGCACCTAATGGCCTCCATAGCGGACGTTTATTGTTGTGTTCTCGATGGCGATAAAATGAAAACTAAAATTAATGGCTTTCGGACAGTTAATGTGGTAAAATAGTTCAAATTGTGGTTTCAGAGTTAAAACAGTTTCAAAGACAACAGGACGTCAACAACACCATAATACAGTCAACAACACTGAATAACGGAACGCGATACCACACGGCACGCATCGCAACGACTGTTTATCAATTCTCCTTGGGTAAGTAAAAGACAACAAAAAAAAATTTACAACGGTAGTGATGGTCTTTGCGTTTGTCTTACAACTGATATCTTTGAACAATTTGTATAATGTTTGAAACTTCATTGGACATTCTATTAATTTGACTTTAGAATTTACTATTTAGATTTTACTTTGATGGAATTACCAGAATTATGAAATTCTTGAAAACTTTTAAATTAATTTTTACTAATTACCTATGCCATAATTATTTCTATTACCATTTACCTAAAAATTGTTTACGAGACTACAGAAAACGTTAAAAATAAAACGAATATATTAAATTAAATAAATATATTACACCCGTATTATACACACGAAATTTAGAGAAATGGTGTTTTGTCTTCGACTTCCAGTTAGTAGAATACGATTTTAGTGCATACTTACGTTTGGTTTTTTTTTATGTTTGTATTCAAATGCGTTGATTTTTATATCTTCAACTTTTGATTGTATTAACAAAGATGAGAAATATATTTTACTTGTCAACAAATTGTAGTAATTTATAAACTTGTTAATATAAAGCTATCTGTGGTGTACTAAATACACCCAATCTATAGGTTTTAAATATTATTTGTTGGATTTTTAGTAAAATATTACTCATTTCATCAATTAAAAGTTTAGCGTATTATTAAATATGTATACTTAGTAATTAAAAATCATTAAATTAATGTTTGGAATTTAACGACTTATTATTCATAATTCTAAGCAATTTTTCATCGTTCTTATCAGAGACGGATTCAGAACAAGAAAACATGATGTAAGGGTGATTTTGAAAATGCCTGTAAGGCAGGCATTTATGATGAAAATTAAGCTAGTATATTGGAAGCAAGTTTTGTAAGCGAATAGGGGGTTGAGCGATCGTCCCCCTCTGTATCCACCATTGAAATAAAATAATGCACCTAGGCACTTACTATAGTAAAATAGTAAAACTACTAGCTAATTATAGTTAAAATCAGTTTGCCATTAATAATGTAAAATACAAATAAAATTAAAAAATGTTTACTTATAATGAATTAGTTGATAAATTATGACTAACAAATGTTTTAGATTAAAAAAAAAAAATATGAACAGAAGGAAAGATAAATGGGATATCTGTCGCACATGTGGTAATGCAGGAGAAATTGAAATATTTGGCCGCGATGGAGTGGCTTTGCAACTAGAAGAAAAAATTAATAGCTACCTCCCTATTACGGTAAACTTTAAAATAAAAATTATTTTATAATCTAAATTTTTTTAAGTATTGAATTAAAAATTGTATTCTAATTTGTTTTCCTATTTTATTATTATAGGTCTCCAATAATGACAATTTACCTCTTAAGCTATGTAATGTATGTATCAACCGGCTTGAAAATTGTCATCACTTAATTCTATCAACTATAGAAATGAATAAAACATTAGAAGAAGTACTGAAAAAAAGGCAAATAAGAAATAATTCCTACAATTTTGTAAGTACTTATTTATACATTTATCCATTCTGAGTTTTATATTATGTAAGACACCTGCAATGTATACAAAACAAGTCACTGTATTCTTAATAGGTTTGATATTTCCATATTAGAATTAATTTGTTTTCATATTTTGATAGGAAAATAATGAAGACGAGACCAATGAAATTATGGAACAAGAATCTATACAATCTATGGATATCATGGATATAAATTCTGCTGATGATGATGTTGAAGATGACGGTATTGTTACAGTTAAGGAAGAATATTTAGACGTATTTATTTTGTTTTATGATGAAATTGAATAAATATTATAACTCAACCATTAAAAAAAAAAATGTTTTATTTAAACAATATTTTTACTTTAGTATGAATCTGTTGATGTTGTTAATGTTGGTACTGATGAATGTTATGAAGTATTAACTGAAGAACTTGATTTGGAAAACTCCAAAGAAGATAATGACAATCAAGAAAATGGTAAATTTCAATGTGCCAAGTGTCAGCGTGTTTTTGAATCGGAGACCAAAATGCGCCGTCATATAATTATTCAACACAATCCTGGCGAGATGGAATGTTTTCATTGTTTTGCCAATTATGAATCCATGTTGCATTTTGAACGCCATGTGTCTACACACTTTGTTCGAAATGAATATCTATGTGACTTTTGCCCTACCATGTTTAACCGTGTATCTGGACTACTTGATCATTTGGTTAAACATAAAAGTGAACGTCGAAAATTTACGTGCCAAGAATGTGGAAAATCGTTGGCAAACCGGCTGTCTTTCTTAATTCATCAACGAACTCATACTGGTGAAAAACCCCATGCATGCAAATTTTGCGATAGAACCTTTTCACAGGTGAATATAATGAAAATGTACATTTTAATTTTTAAGTTTTATTTTTGGTGGCAGGTTGTAACATTTACATAAAGTGTTGCAAAAATAATTTTATAAGATACCTTTATAGGCTGGTAAAAAAAATGTTATATTATGTACAGATCCATAATAATGGGCTTTATTTTTATTTTTTAAGCTCTTTTAGCTGTTTGCCTTTATAAATAACAATAAAATTGGAAAAAATGATTGTACCTATGTTGACAGCATGACACGATAAAAATAGGCACATTGTACGCATTATTGCTCCAAAAGAAATGCTTTATTGCCACCGTGTCGACACATGTTTCTTATATTTGTATGGCTGTCCAAAGCACAAAACATTTGTACTCTGAAAACTATCTAATTATTAATAGACACACTGGTGAACACCAAAATTTTCTTTTTTAATTAACAATTTTTTTACTACACAGACTACATATTTAATAACCAATTATAATTTACTATAGAAATCTAATAATTTTTTATAAACATTATTTTGAGTAATTCATGTGCTGCTGTGCTCCATAGCACAAATCGGCAATGACTTTTATTAAAGATGTATTAAAGGTATTTAAGATGATATTCTGTTATAACAATTTGTATACAAATTTATCTAAATTAATAATTCATTAATTAGTATTTTATTTATAATTTATTTGATAAGTTTATAACAATTTAAAGTTTAGTACGGTGATACCTATATAGACTGAGGCAAAAATAAATATTCTATTTTTAGCCAACTCATATTTATTCATGTTTAAATTAACGGTAAAACTTTATTATATTGCCACATTTTGTTATTATAAGCAAAAATGGACACAATAGCAAATGAAGACATTTTATTCCAAAGTGCTTTAAAATTAAATTAAATTACATCTCCTGGGACATTTAACATTATTAGCGTCAAAACAATGGAAAAATAGTAGAGATATTGGAATAATGTTTTATTTTCAAATAAATTAAGAAGCATAAAACCCTGAATCAAAAAATGGAACCTTTCTCCAAATCTAAAAAGATGGGATGAAGTAATAATTACCTGAACCAGAATTGGATATATGCACTTAACCCACTTATTTTTCATTACCAAAGAACTGGCTCCAATATGTGACACATGCAAGGAAAACATATCAATCAACCACATAGTGATCAAATGTCCTAAATATACCGAAGCAAAAAAAAAGATTTTCATACATTTTAAACGTAAGCTATTAACCACGGCTGTTGAAGCCTTAATATAATAAAAACAAAAACAAATAGCAAATATAAAAAAAAAAGATAAAAATAAAATTTATATTGTTTTTATTATTTATTGTTAATTTAAGAAGGGTTAAGAGTTATATGGTTTACAGTTTGAAATACAATTTTGTATGAGTTGGAACATGTTTTCCATCTGTTTAGATAGGTATATTAAATATAAAATAATGAAAGCTAAATTGTTGCAATAATGCATTTAGCATTAATATTTTTGACACCTATCTGATGATTATTTAAGTGTTAAATCCAATCAAAACTTTTTTAATTTAATGCACACAATTATTAATGTTTTTTTTTTTAAACTTTTTACAGATTTCTTCAAAACAGTATCACGAACGAACTCATACAGGTGAAACAACCCATCATTGTGAATTTTGTGGCAAAGGATTCAATTCGAAATTGACGCGAGATACACATAGACGTATTCATACGGGTGAACGTCCATTTGGATGTAAACAGTGTAATGCTACTTTCCGATGTCTGGCTAATTTGCGACAACATGAGATGGTTCATGCACCAGTAAAGCCGTTCCAGTGCGAGGTTTGTTTAAAGCGTTTTGGGCGGCCAGAAAAAGTGCGTGTTCATATGCGTACACACACTGGTGAAAGGCCGTACAAATGTCCCATTTGTGGTCGTGGTTTTACACAAAAGAATGATATGCTCAAACACACCAATGTGCATAATAAGCCAGCTCGACGGTCTAGTGTTCAAAATAATAAAAATGATGATGATAATCTAATAGTTTCTGTAGGCAACACAGAGCGATCTAAGTATGTAGATATAAATCAACTTAAGGAATTATGTTTTGATATAAACACCAATTATGATTGTTCAGAAAATGATACCATTAGTAGTTTAATGGGGGAATAATAATTCAGTGTCTTTTTATTTAAATTCTGTGGAAATAATTGTTGATATCTATTAAACTATTTATTGTACTATATTATATGTAAACATTATATTTACATTATACATATATGTGTATTAGGTATTATATTATGTGTACCTAAGATAATATGAGAATGAAATAGAAATAAATTATTCTGTAAAATATAGATAATTAATTAATTTTATAAATTACTACTATTGTAATAGTAATATTTCAGTCAATAGGTAATAATTTTGTATGAATCTGAATTAATTTAATGTTTTATTATTTATTAAGTTAAAGTAATGTATGGTCAAAATGATTTTGTATTAAATTGGTTGTATTGTTATAATATATTAATATGTTACTAAAAATAAAAAAACACATTTTATAGAAATTTAATTTTTAAGGTACAACAAATCATAAACAAATTATTAAAGACAATTATTAGGTTCTGAACATTTGTGTGGTCAATTCAAAATGGATTTTTTTATGAGAAATTTGGTACTTATTAGTTCTTGCTTTGCCACAGCAAAATAATAACAAAGGGAGGTTCCTTGGCACCACAATGTTATAATTTTGATTTCTAACTATATAGTAAATTACGTTATTAATTTTTAACCACAAATATTTTTTTCTTTAAATTGCTATAGTAATAGCAATAATCTATATTAGCTGTTCGCTGACATCTTGTTAGTACGTTCTCAACTTCTGCTGTAACTTAAAAAAAAATTGCATGCAAAAGGAATTTTAATGATAAAAGCGATAACGTATTTTCATAAAACAAATATATAATCAAAATTAATTAAATTTAATCATACTTAACATTAACATTTTATTATTCATTTACAGTAATTATGACCTCAGGGAGGGGGCATATAATAATAATTACAATATACGGGGTGATCAATCTATCACATGACACTCATTATCTCGGAAAGTATTAACTTTTTCCGGAATTTAGTTTTTAGAATATTTAAGAAACAAGCTGTTCTACAATTTTATATGCATGTTATTTTTTGTCACCTTTATTTTTGGGGGTAAAATCACTAACTACTTTTGATTTTCAAATGGTAACCTTGTTATGACAAGACATCATAATTGTAATTACAACTTTTATTTTATAGATTATGTTACTTTAAATTAAAATTATTTTTATGCAAGTAGGTTCCTACGATAATTTTATCGTGAAAGTAATTAAAAGTATCGTATNTTATATGCATGTTATTTTTTGTCACCTTTATTTTTGGGGGTAAAATCACTAACTACTTTTGATTTTCAAATGGTAACCTTGTTTATGACAAGACATCATAATTGTAATTACAACTTTTATTTTATAGATTATGTTACTTTAAATTAAAATTATTTTTATGCAAGTAGGTTCCTACGATAATTTTATCGTGAAAGTAATTAAAAGTAAAATAAAATAATTGGAGTGAATAAATATACTTTCTTACTACCTATACCTAGTTTTATGAAATAAAGATAAATTACTAGCTAGTAGATGAAATATTATTAAAACAAAAGATGGGACGGATAGGTAAATTACGAAATATCCACAATAATACTAGTAGTCAATTAGGTATAATACAATTTTAAATGGCATATTTATTATTTAAACCAAACCACACAGATTAAATTGAACATACATAAGATAAATTAGTTGGATTACAGAAATAAATTAACACATGTACTATAAAATCGAGTGAGCCGGTCGAAATTAAAATGCCAGAGTAATCTCGCCCCTTTTATGACTCCGTGTGAATTATCTTTTTATATTTTATAAAATATAATTTATTATAATATATTATATTAATTAGGCGTATTAAATAATTGATTTAATGTTAACACAGGCTAGCCAACTTTGAATTGTTAATGCCTATAAAATATACGGTTTCACGTAAAAATAAAAAAGCACAAACGTTATACCTATTAAATTATTTTTTCGCATTACGATTACGTTTATTGTTTAATTGTTAATCATTAATTATGATTAACGATATACTATTGTGTGTAATGGTGTTCGATTTTTTCCGTTTTTCGTTTATTCAACTTTATTTTAACAACAAAAAAATAATAACAAATTGGAATTAAATTGAACTAATAGATCAATGTCAATGTCTACTTTTTTTTTTACATACATTTCAGATTGTGCAATTATTGTGGAGTGTTTTTCTCAGAAGGCACGGTGAAAGTTTGGCAAACAAATTTAATGACGAATGAACGATTATCGAAAGTAGAAATAATCGGTCGCACGTTTTTTTACCGCGTGTATGTGGTCCACCATTCATTATAATCCATTTCGAAAAGGTGTTTTTATCGCACAGTATTTATAACCCGCGATGAGTCAAGGTGCACGCGATAATTTTCGAAATGTCGCGCGTTAATATTAACGACACTCGTATCTTGTGCTCTATTCATTTCAATGTATTTTAACAAAACACATCGTAAATTAACGGTGCGGTTTAAATGTCGCGTAAATAAAAGAACGCCCGTGTGCGTTCAGCCTAAAGGTGTCTTTTTCACAGCTTACCGTGAAACGCAAAATATTCTAGAGGACTGTGATTGGTTGAACCATGTGGTTATTATTTAGTGGTTAACCAGTGGTCAAACGTCATTTTTGATTTTAATATCTTCTTTATATCGCTTACACCGGATAGTTGAGTTCAATCCTAATCGGACCGTGTGTTCACGGTTAAATGATAATGGTTCAACTATTTTAAATTGTATCAATCATATGGTAAACGAATTGTAAATTATCACGTTTCACGGCGAGTGGTAAAGGCACCTTAATGGTCGGTGGCATGAGCGAACGCAAGGGGGGAGGTTTGGGGGTTCAAAACAATCCCGAAATATTAGGAAAACTTTAAAATAAATCGCTTGACTACATATGTGTATAATTATTGTATATAATATACGATTACTTAAGTTCCAAAATAAAGAGTACTACAGTATGATATTTATGAACATTTTAAATTTTTTCGAAATGACTGACAAGTAAACTGTACCAATATTAAAATAAAAGCGATTTTTATTTTTGTATTAAATACGTTTTTTGTATAGTTTTCAACTAAAATAAATATTTCTCAAATGATTTTCAGGTTACTCAATTTTAAGGCTTGAATTAGAAAAAAAAACTACGCATCAAAGTTTAATAATATAATGTAATAAATATCGTTAAGTATTATCGTAATATTAATAAATTACGACTACATTTTTAATAATAACAATAAAATACAAACAAAATGTGCATCGAAAATAAATGCATATTTCGTGGTCGCTTTGCAGCAGTGGAACCGAGATGCACCGAGGTACATTCAATTTTGTGGTCCTCCAATCGTATTGAAAACAGACATGCTGTACTCCGACGGTCTAGCGAACCGTTGGCTGTATGCATAGACGAATAGACTGGTCTTTGGTACGCTCATAGCGGTCAAAGATAGTCGTGACTTGTGACTGCACAATAATTATTATTATTTATTATTGTGCAGATAATATTGTACCTGTATTATCTACTTGCTTTGCTCGCGAATTCACGAACCGTGATATTGTTCTATTTTTTCACGCCTACTTAAAATCATTTTTTTGAAATTATTAAGTTAGTCATAATCTTTAAATTAGTTGGACCGCTACACCTTTAATTAGTGGTGGTTGGATGGTCTGTATAATCCTAGTTATTATTCATGGACATGTTAATTATTACACTTATAGAGTGATGGGGAGTAATATGGATGAATATTGGTGTGGAGAGTAGGTGACAGAGGCGTAAGTATGAATTATTTATTGGGGGTTCTGACTTACAATTATTTGTAATTCGAGTGAATGGCGAGTTGAATAAAAATTTAAACTACTTTAGTATATGACCTGTAGTCCTAACTTTTTTATTCGATACTTTTAGTTGAGTAGTCCGTAGCTATAGACTAGTTGTTAGCCATTATACTTTCTTCCCGCATTCCTGTTTTCCTTTGACAATAATTTAGATAAAAGCCACGGGATTAATATTCTGTTCTTTAAATTTTGTTATTTTAATTGTGATCCTATTACAAATTAAGTATTATTTAAACTTGACGGAGGAAAAAATGTATTTTAATATGTAGATTTAGGTTAGGTTCAATCGCTGTTGTAAACGGACGGATTTGACGGTATAAGTATAATATTGTACCTAGTTTTACGTCAAAATTGCGTTTAAGAAACGTATAAAAGGGTGATAAAACTACACAAGCATAAAATCCAATATTATTTTTTTCAATAATTATTAATACATTTTTGATTTTGAATATTGTATACATATATAATATGTATATATGTATATATATAGTTATATATTTAATTTTTTAAATCATAATTCATATTTTATACAATATTAGTAAAATCGTAAATAGGTGTAGGCACAATAATATATATTATAATAATATAATGGTATATACAGTAGATATCGTTTATAATGACACCGATTGTAGTGACATATGCAAATTTTCTGAGATTGAAGGTCCCGCCAAAACTCTTATATTGCGTATAGGAAATATGTACTAATTTGTATCGATTATTATGACGTCTGTATAATGCCTATACGACGGTTTTTTTTGATTATATTGGAAAAATCTGTTATCTATAATGACTGTATTAAACTGTATTTAATTTTAAATTAATGAAACAACTTTTTTTTTTATTTTACTTTTTTCTGTATGTATTATATTGAAATCACGATTACGGATCCAGTGATAAAAATATGGTACATTGATTGTAAAACAATATTATTTTCATATAGATACATATAGGTACATTTTCAAGTTTTTAAATTGTATTTTATCATTTTGGTTGTTATGAGTTTATGGCTAACTCTAACTAGTCCCTTGAATGTCATTATAAACGGGTTCTACTGTACATAGATAAAAGGTACCTATATTTTATAATAATGTTGTAGGTATAATAATATAATAATTATTATCATTAATTAATACATGCGTTTCTTAATTAATTTTGTCTCTGATAAATGGTAAGTATCATTGTTTTTATTAATTATTTAAATTGCATAACATGATATATAAAATTTAGACAATTAACCGTAATCATAGTATTATTATCATT